ATACACATACCTAAATATAATTTACAAGTGGCTCCTCTTGATGGTATTGCACAACTAAATTAGCTCTTCAAAAAAAAAAAACACACCCACTTTAAAGCACGACAGATGATCTGTACTTATGCTCCTAAAACATAAAAGTTTGCTCTGGTGGTAGAAACGGCTGAGACAAACAGGACAGAATTTGGATTTAGTTCTGACAGAATTGTGCTTGTTACTGTACATCACTCCATGTCTTGGGCAGCTTCCAAGATTCAAGTCCTCCTCTGACTTCCTGCGTCCCATGCTTGGCTTTCACGTGAGCACGCCCTCGCAAGCACACGGAGTAGCCTAATTCCCTCCACTGCAAGGAAAGGCTTGGTCACGAGAATGCTGGGTTTATGAAAGCTTGCATGTGGAATGGCAGAAGTCTTGTATTTCAGAATGATTGATTCCTCCCAGGAGTAGCAGACTCCTAAAGGAGGGCTGTAACAGTCAATCACACTGAAGTTTCAAACACCTAGAACTGGGAGGGGGCAGGGGCCTGGCTTGCTAAGTCCCAGAGTGCTGCCCGGCTGAGCTTATTTTGGAAATCTGTTTTGAATTTACAGCTCTGCCTCTTTAGGACGGTATTTTAAGATGGTCTGCCAACCCACAAGGGCTCCAAGTAGCTTTTGTTTCTGTACTCACACAGATGAGGAGCTAAACTAATTGAGAGAGTGGCCCAAATTTGTATCACTGAGTATCACAATTGGCCTGAATTCCTGCACCTTCTGCATGTCTCTACACTTATGTCCATTAGTATATGGAAGTCACTCTTGGAACCCTTGCAAAGCTTTCTGCACCCACATATAATCAGTAAATAAATTACCAATTCCTGCTTCTAAGTGGTAATATCCCAAGGTCCCAGAAAAAAGAATTTCAAGGGCTAAACGCTTTCAGAGGCTTTTGTTAATATAAACACAGCTTAGCAAAACAATTACTGTTTTCTTTCTTTGTTCAATAATGGCACAGTGCAGTGTGTGTGCAGATATCCTCCATTTAATTGAAATAATTTAGGTGTCCTAGCGTCGATCTACCCAAGGCTATAGCAGGCAGTTTGCCTTATAACCTTGGAATGTATTCAGTTTTAGTTTAGTTTCCTAGACAAGAGCACTTCAAATCATCGTCAGAATTCACTGAAGAAAATAAAGGGAAAAAGTCCCCTGATCCCCCGTGTGTCCACCCCCTATCACACACACACACAAGAAAAGGGAGGAGGCATTTAAGGTAACAGGCAGAACAGCAGGTCCTACCAAGGGGACTGCCAGGGGATCTTCATTTCAACTGGGCATTTTTCCAATTAGTTTATATATCTCCTTCTCCCTTTCCTTATTCTCAGCTCTCACTCTCCGTGATTAATAGATATGCCAGAAAGCTTCTTATACTCTCTTTAAGAATTATGCTTATAACAAAGAGTAATTTGTGCAAAAAAGCAAGTTGCTGCGAGAGGGTGGGCAAGCAAAGCTCAGGCGCATGTAAGGAGGAGCTGTGAGGCAGGCGAGCACAAGGCGTGTGGGTGGCCTGCCAAGCGCAGCAGTTGGTAGGGACAGAAGGCTTCGGATGGACACATCCAGGTTTGAGCTGCTGGCACACACTCACCTGCACTGCATCGGGCTCTGTGCTGCCAAGCAGGAGTGTGCCCCGAGCTGCATCTCCAGGTCCATTTACCTGCTGACCAAACCCAAACCCAAGTTCTTCACCCAGTCCATCTATGGTTTTTTCTTAGGCACAATTCAAACAGGGGTTTGGGAACGGAATATTGTTATATCGCATTGGGGTCAGAGAAAGAGAGATTGAATCTGTCACTGAATAGAAAGAAGCTGGGAGAGAAAAGTGAGAAGAAAAAAGAATATTGGACTTTCTGGAACCTTGCTCCCCAAGTGTCATCCATGGACCAGCAGCAGTTTCATCTGGGAGCTTATTAGAAATACATAATCTCAAGCCCCCACCCGGACCTGCTAGAAAGGAATATACATCTTAAGAAGACTCCTAGTGATTCATATGCATCAAGAAAATTTGAGAAGTGAAGACCTAGGGGTTGTTTTTTTTAAATTAAAGTTTATTGGGTTGACAATTGTTAGTAAAGTTACATAGGTTTCAGGTATACAAATGAAGGAGCACGTGGAAATTTTTAAAAATTACCAACAGTATTGGATCCTCCGTGTTTCTGGGTCAGCTGGTCTAGCTAAAGCATAAGACTCAGTTTGTTGTAAAAGTTGCTCAGGTGATTTGAATGAGCATTCAGAGTTGAGAACCAATAATATACAATAGAACAATGGTTCTCCAAGTATGATCTCCAGACCAGCAACATCAGCATCGCCTGGGAACCTGTTAGAAATGCAGATTCTTAAGCCTTGCCCAAACCTACTGAATCAGAAACTCTGGGAGTGGGAGCCAGCAGTCAATGTTTTAACAAGCTCTCCAAGTATTTATCCAGAACTACGGCTATAGAAGAATCCAAAACTGGAATAAAAGCTGCAAATGCATTCAAATCTACTAGAAATACCCAATCCCTCTGATAAGAAGTCCAGATTTTTCAAGTAACAGGTTCTCCATGAATTAATCCAACATGCCTTTCTAAAGATATCCCACATAATTCCCTTTAACACATGCTGCTAAAATAAATGAGTTAAATTCTAGGGTCTCTTTCAGCTATAAAAGTTAGTGATTCTATGCTTCCAAAGCTCTAACTTTAGCCAAGTTCACCGTCTCCCTAAATATGGCAACCTAGATGCTCGACCTTCTTTGCCTGCACAGGTCTGTCTTTCTTCCCATCTTGTTGGTCAGATGCTGCTCATTCTTCAAGGCCATAAACGTTACCTCATCCACTAATTGGTTCCCCTGCCAGAATGGACCTCTCTTCCCACATTTCTCCTATCACTTGCTCATTGCATTCACTTCATTGTTTTCTATTAGTCATTTGCCCGATGCTTTGGCTCTCAGCCATATTTACTGTTCCTTGAAACAGAACAGTGTTTTATTCTTCCTTAACTACTCCCAGCTTCTAGCACTGCCCTCTGTACATGGAAAGTAACACATAAACACTGATTGCATTGAAGCAAATGGGTTTGAGGGCTCTCAGGAGAATTTGGGCTATAAGATGAAACATGACTGGCTCTTCAAATACAGTAAGCACGCATAGAATTCCAAGGCAGCCAACAAGAACACAGATATCATGAGCCTAATAAAGCTGACTCTGTTCCAAAGATTTAGTTTCAAAATAAATCTACATCACATCCTCAACTGAAATCCATAAAAAGAAATTATATTAAATTTTACATTAGTTTGCAAATATAATCACTCAATAATTATTTTCTTGGGTGTTTGGATGAATATTGATAGAAAGCTTTCTAGACAAAAGCTCTAGAAAACTAAAAAATGTGTTCATTTCTACCCCCATCATATATATATATATATATATATATATATATATATATGTATGTAGATATTAAAGATACCCTTTATTAAAATTTAATTTGGCTCACCCCTCTGCCAGACACATTATGAACTTTATCTCATAATCTTCACAACAAGAA